GGGGGGGGCTCCGAGGCGGAATGCATAGGCATCGGCTTATTACCGCATTCAGATAGCCAGTCCGCGTAAATTGATCGCGGAGATATAGGGCCTCTGGCCTGCTGCAACGAGTTTGAATCAGTTTGAAAAGACTGCTTTCATCCAATATGAACCTGCCTTTTGTCGCCGTTACGTTTACGGCACGTTTGTTATTGTCATTACTTTCATGACTCACTCAACAGGATCGTCCTTGGCACATAATTCACGAGGAAAGAACAAGCGCACCAACTAATTTTCCTTGACTGATTTATTCGGTCAAAGTGGCCTCATTGACGCATAGAAAGGCGAATGAGAGCGCGTGTGATGTCCCTGGAACTGGTGAATAAGCTAGACATGCCCATTCTTGTCCCCTAGTCTTTGCCGGTAATGTTATTTTACCTATAATAGTAGCCTTGGAGCGGCTAATGGCGGAGCTCGAGATGGAGTCCCAAGGCATAACGGGACGAATTTGTTCCCTAACGCGCTTATTGAGCACCTCACAACCATTATTAACGGTTAACTTTGTATAACAGACGTACATGAGCCATAACCGCATTAAAAAGACCTATATGTAGACTGTCAGACAGTACTGGCGGTCAATAGCTCTGAAACGGCTGTTTGACCTTCGAAAGATATGACGCCCACCACACTCCCCGTGCGTAAGCATTCGCATCGAAGGGTCCCAAGGGTAGTGTTGCTTTATTCATCTGCTCAAGCATCAAGGAAGATAATAAAAACAACTCAACCTAAGATATCATAAAGGTGAGGGGCAAAAAAATCAGGGAAGTTCTAGCGCCAAAAATTTGCGTCATCCAGCTGTAATTAGTCAATGAGCAGGGTACTAACGCGTGCAATTCAGAAAGTGTGCGTTTATATTTTTGTACTACTCGGATATATTAATTATTTTAGTGTCCAAACGGGAGATTCGGCAAGGAAACCTTTGGCCTGTGACCTTATCTAGAAAAGAGCCCATAACCCCTATAAGTAAAGCATTTGAAGACCTTGCAGAATATATTAACTCGGCATAGTGTACAGTCGAAATGGATCCAAGAACACCATTTAAACAATGTCAAAGTTACCCCATTCCCTCACCCATTTTATCATACTCTTCCCCTCTCGCGTTGTCTCGCGCTTTGCAGTTTTAATCACGCTTGGCAGGTT